GGCCTCTGTCCCCGCCTCGTCCCTGTGGCCAGCGTGCGCCGTTTCTCGGCCCATTATTCACTGTTGCTGGGGTGACGCCGGCCCGAGCTCGGACCGTGGGCAGTGGTTCCCGAGGCGGGGGGGGGTCCCCTTTGCTGCCGAGTCAGCTGTGGAAATGTGGACACACACAGCTGCCAGGACACCGTCGCGGTCGCTGCCCCTGCTGGTCCTCGTGGTTTGCTGTCCGCCTCGGGCCCTGCCACTCACGTTGTGGCCTCCTGGCCGAGAGCCCGGTCTCGGCTAGCGCTGGTCCAGGCTGTGGCTCCAGCGGGAGGAGTGTGGCCCAGGGCTCCGTCACAGGGGCGTTTCCAGGCCAGAGCTCTGCCGGTGCGGGGTCGCCCCGGCGAGGGCGGCCCCCGAGGGAGGGCAGGCCTCTGCACCCTGAGTCCAGGTGCCCTCAGGAATTCGGTGCATCTTGGTAGGCGAGCTCTGGTGTTGCTGGGCCCGCCGGGCTGGGCGCCGTTTGGGAGTGAGGGGTCGGCCCTGCCCACACACAGCACATGACCACCCCAGGCCAGCTCTGTCCACTCTGTTCCTGGCCCCACGCCTCCTCCCGCCCTCCCTCGAGGCCCAGGGCGGCTTGTCCAGCTGGGTTGCCGAGCGTTTTAGAGGGACACAGTTTCCGATTTAGAGGTCTCTTCTCTCCTTGAGCTCCCCTGCCCAGTCTAGAGATCCCCCAAAGAGAGAGTGTGGCTCGCTTGGTTTGGAACACGCGCCTGGCCTCAGATTGCAGGCTGCCTGCCCGCCCCCGGGAGCTGTGCCCCACCCCTGCCGCCCGCGCCCCCAGCCCCCCACGCTGCGCCAGCAGCCCCGGCTTCCTCCTCCGCCTCGCCGGCCAGACACCGGACTCTCGTTTACGTTGGACACGCACGTGGAATTTTCCCTCTCTGGAGAATCTAAATAGGTAATAAGGCTGGAAAGGAGACAGATTTGGGTGACTTGTAAAGGAACCCCAAGCCCTGAATTCTGGGTGCGATAAATGACTTCAGTTAAAATTTTTAATACTGAGCTTATTTTATTAGCTAATAAGCTAGATAGGTAATAAAAACAACTTACACGTGTTATTATATTTTACTAGCCACAAGTTGGAATAACATCGCTGGCATCCGTGGACACGTTTCCCGTTCTCACTTGGGTAGAAACCATTTACAGATATATTGCTGGGGGGGTGCCCAGATGTATAGATTGCTTCATCGGCTCCAGGCAGGCCTCCAAGAGCCCGAGGAGCCGCCCTGAATCTGCCTGCCTTTCCCTGGC